TTTCCACAATAGCTTGCAAGTCTCACTATAGCTACTGTTTTCCATGTAGAGTCAACCTCAGAAAATGAAGTACACTTGATTTAACCTTTCAATTTTATTTAAATTTTAATTCACTTCTCAGAAAAATGCATCTAAACCCTCTCAAATGTTTTTGGTCAAGAATAAGACGCTGCCATTCAAGGAGAGCCTAGGAATAAGGAGCTGTTGTAGTATAATTCAAATTGTAACTTTATCCTCAGTAGTGGCTTTTTTCAGTGATATATGTATGCACAGGACTATGTAACAAGCTGATGTGACTGAGTGAAAAGAATAAGAAATGCTTTTCCTTGTTCAATATTACATATTCCACATGATTTAAAACACATTCCTGTACAAAATAGTGTATGAACTGACTATTAACAAAACCAGCTGTGTGCTGAAAGCCTTCCATGTCACTTTCAATAGAGCAATGCTATTGCATTACAGTGGAAGATGCATTTCAGTGCAGCGAGTTAGATGTTAAAACGGAATGCCTACACACAGTTTCCTTAAATGTTGGAATGTTAAGTTGTAACTGGGGAGCAAGCTGTCACTTTGCACCTTTTAAGTCTTCCTGACATCTTCCAGCTCTTCTTCAGTTCCAAAATTGTATTTAAAACATTTACATGCGAGTAACAAAAAGCAAGAAGTAATGTTTTAGACCCCAAAGCTTTGTACACATGCTATTTAAATTAATTAACAAGCTATGGCCTCTTCAAGGTGTTTTTTTTCTCCCATAAGTTAACTTGTATTGTATTTCAGATCTAGAATAAAGCATGCCATTCCCTCCTCCTGCTATTAAAGGGCAGGCATTCTGACAGGGGCCTACTCTCTCAGGAAAGGCAGGCTTGTCCTGTACAGATATACCAGTGAGAAATGTGTGTCAGGTAGCTTTATGCCTTGCTAATGGGTGCATATACCCTGCTGTACTGACAAACTCTTTGAAATGACTGCAAAAAGTGAAAAGAAAGCATCTTTACAACTCAAAAGCCATTTGGTTAGGCAAACATGAGTTGCTCAGCATATTTACACCCAAGTATGAAGCTATGGCAAGACTCCTTAGGAAAGTATGACCTACTGAAATACCAGAAAATGTCTGAAAGAGAAACAAGAAAGATTGGATAGCATAACAGCAGAGTTTTAAATAACTTATGAATTTTTTTGTCCTATCTGCCAAAAATATACAATATTAAAGTTTGCCTAATAAACAGTAATAGTTTTGGTACAGTCAAAACAGGTGCGAATAAAGCAACATAAAGATGATGAAGGTCATATAATGTGGGTTTTTATTTTAGTGTTACACTAATAAATTAGAACTTATTTATATGGTCTGGAGTGCTCAAAATCAAAGCTTTTATTTAATAACACTTGTCAGTTCAGTAGTCTGAAAGTGAAATATTTCAGTACTTCTAAGACTACAGCCACTATTATCAAACCAATACTTAGCAAATTGAAGTTTGTAATTACAGCATTGATGAACAATTAGGAGCAAGCAGCAGAAAAGGAAAAAAAAATCAGAATGATACCTTTAAGAATTGTACATTATTTTTGCTGAACAGCCACAATTAGATACAAACAAGCTGAACTGAAGCCAAATATATAAAGCGTTAGCCTTTGGAGTTGTTTTTTTTTTTTCAACTGTACCCTAAAAATCTTGTATCAATTAAGTTGATACATATTGAAAATACATTTAGATCCACATAATCAAATAAAACTATATGTTTAAGCATAATGGTAACATATTTCTAGATCTAAATATTTCTGCGAAGACTAAGAAAGTTTTCATACTTTAAAGCCTCTGCTCACAACTTACATAGTGTCCTATTGTACTGGCGTAAGTGTCAGCAATCCAGGACATCTCCCTCTCTCCTGTGCTCATATCAGGAGCAGGCACATCAACTCCAGGACCTGTTGGCACCAGTGAAAACAGCTCTTAAGGATCACACCTTAATAGTTACCTTCAAACATTATTCCCCTGGGAATTGAACAGGGCTTGGCAGAGGAGAGCTGTACTCCTGCTTAATCCTCTGTTCATTACTCAAGGAACTGATTCTTCCGGATTCAGTTTTAAGTGTTGTATCAGGTTTTTGTACAATACTATCAAAACCATCAACCTTTGACACAAGATGCTCAGTAAAATAAAGATCAGTCACAACTCAGAGTAAAATAACCCACCAAAAGCACAGTTTTACTTTACGGATCATCACTGTAACAAGAAGGGCAATATTTACGTATGATTTCTGTATACCATGCTGTTATTTTTGCATTAGAATTTTCTTTTTGTATCTGATTGAGTTGAAAACTTTTCTTTAAAAATTGAAGATAGGCCACTCCTAGCCATTGCACTGTAGTACACACATTTGATTTGTGTCTTTCAAGAGACATTACATCTTTCTTAGGCTTTTGAGAGTACTTTGACACATCTGTTGCAATAGAAGCAAGTTCTGTTTTTTCTAGGTAACTAAATTTAGCATTTACACAACCTATTTAAGATGTCTCACTCAGCAAGATCTTAAATCCAACTCAGCCTCTACGAAGTTGTTTTGTAAGTATTTGGAAGAGGCTTGTGAAAACTACATAGCAACAACCACAGGTTCTGTTACAGCAGGCACCTAGACTTCTTGCTTGTGTTTCCCCTGCAGCCTGTGGTTGTCATGGGTGAAGTCACCAACTTTCTCTAGTGTAGACCTTCCACTTCCTTCCTTTGTTTCCTCAGATGTATGCCAAAAGCCTCAACTGAGACTACAGTTACAGTGAAACAGCTTGATACTAGAAATTAGCATTGCAACAGGTTTGGTCACAACTTTTATAACGTTTTTAAGAGGAATGTGAGTCATTTTGGATCCTGTGAGCTCAGCTTTTGTGGCTTTTCAGAGCAGAATACAGCTCACAAAGAAAAGTTAAATACAGTTCCTTTTACAATTAAATTGCATGACTCAATTCTTGGCAGCATTTTGCTGGAACTATTATTTCAAAATTATTTACAGATCTCAAATACAATTTAAGCATATTGTTTAGTGGCTCCTCCTAATGAACAACAAATCAGGTTATAATTTTTACTGTAAAGATTTAGTATGCAACGTACCAATGAAACCTTTTTTCGCCAGCTCCATGGTAAACCTTCTTGTGATCTTTTCCAATTCATTGTCCTATAGAGAAAATGTAATAAACATTACAAGAAATCATTAGTGTTCATCAGTACTTGCTAAAGCCTATGCCCAAGACACACTTGCTTTTTTTTTTTTTTAGAAGGATGATTCATGTGCTGCCTATACAGTTTATATGCCATTTCCTAACATACCCTTGGTATTCAGACAGTACAAGGAAATGTTTAACTTTCTTTCTGTACATTCTGATCTTTGACAAGTTAGGAGTGCAGCACAGGAAGAACCACCTGTGCATAGATTTCCATCACACAAATCTGATATCCTATGTGAGAGATTTATACCAAGTGACAGCAGTAGCCAGCCTGGGGGTTACGTTATGTAATCAATGCAGTTTAATTACTTTGCACAAATCCTTACAGACTTCTGAGCTTAGAATATCTGCTCTCTACTTTAGGAATCTTTTCTATCCAAGTTACTTTAATTAGGGAAAGAAGGCAAGTCTGCAATAAGTTTTTTATAAGCCAGGTTCGTTACCACTTACATTGGAGCAATACATTAAAAGGTTTAACAAAGTGTAACACTATTTGTCAATATGAAGAGAAACTAACTTTTCTAGAAACAATTAAATGTCAGCCTTTATTTTTTTAAAGTTGATATTGTTACTAATCAGGTTCCAAATTACTTGTTTTCTTCTGACTTTGAGAAAAAAGTAACAACTAAGTAGCTGAAGGATTCAACCTTGGAAACACAAATCTGTTTTGTACCTATTGCAAGCACAAGCTAAACTCAGCCTCTACAGAGGCAGAAGTGGCAGGAAGCCTCAAGTGGTCAGTAATACCCTTAGAGCCAGTAGGAGCTGAAGTACTGAAGCTGGCAGGCTTCAGTACTGCAGTTAACTTTTTCATCTATGATTAAGCTTACTGTGTAGTTCTTGGGATTGATCTTCACACCAGCCTTTGCTCCACCAAATGGCACATCTACAGGAATGCGAAGGAAAATAATTTTATTTTTTTGACAGTAAAGGTAGAGCACATCAATAATCTGTGAGCAAATATGTTTGGGTTTTTTTCTGATGCGAATTGAGTTTTTGCCATGTTTAGGTCTTCTCAAGTGTAAGCTATAATCTGATCTGGATCCTATTAAAAACAGGAAATCTTTCAAGGGCAGCCTGAAATTTGTCTTTCAAATTCCAAAGTTCCTTGTTTGGATTTTCTATGTTGCAAGGTTTTGTGCTTAACTTATTTCCATGAGGTGCTACAGCTTATATTTTACTGTTTTATCTCAATTTTAGTAGTCCTAAGTGATGCACCTCTATGCTCAATGAGATATTGTTTACAATCAGATGATGTACAGATTCTCTCCAACCTGCCCTATACTTTAGCAGTCACGCATCAATTGTACTTTATTATAACCTGTAAAAAAAAAAAGTTTATCACACCTCTATCTCCACAGCTTCTGTGTAAATCCTTTACAGCCTCTATCTGTTCCCCTAAAATTAGCAGCTTACTAATAAGAGCTTGATGCACATTTGAGTTGAAGAAGCACCTATACCGGAAGAAACTTCAAGAATTTGGACTTAGTAAATGAAAACGCAGCTTTAATCAGGCTTAGGTATCAATAACAGCAGAGGGAATATATGCAATTTGTTTTGGTTTCTATATTTTTGTTTCCTAATTTGCTAAGTATTTTATCAGATCAGTGTCTAAAACTTAATCCTTCAGATGCTTTTCAGTGCTGATGGCAATTAAAGATTGTATCTTTGCTTGAAAAATCATCACTTACCAACCACAGCACATTTGTATGTCATCAGAGATGCTAAGGCTTTCACTTCATCCACACTAACATCCAAGCTGTAACGAATACCTGCAGAAGACAGGAGGAAAAAAGAATTCACTGAACAACTTCACAGATGCTGATAAATTGAGAATGTTAACCTCAGGCCTGTATTTATTAACTTAATTGCTTTAAGTCTTCAATTCTCCATTCTCCTACTTATTTATTATCCATTTTTTAGCTAGAATTCAAGACTTCAGCAATTCTGTTAAGTAGTTTAACAGAAGCAATCAAGCTCGAGAGGAAGACAAACCAGTTTGTTGGTTAACCTAGAGTAGAGTTCTTGAGAGGCTGATAAGGGTAACCAGCATTCTGTAAGATCTTTAGCTTTGCACTTCATTGTTTATACAAGATCAACAGTGTAGCTGAATGTAACTTACTAGTACATGTTAAAATCAAAATCTTGCTAGAGTAATGCAAGCTCCTGCTAAGTTGCCATGTGCTGGCTGTAGTCCAACAAAACCATACGTAGCATCAGAGCTCTGACTACTAAGTGCTGCCAAGTAACAGAGAGCTGCAAGCCACTCCTCTGATTCAAATCTGTTCAAAACATTTTGATGAAATAACTATCCCAGCCAGCTCGTGTGTGACTAGGCCACCCACCCCACACTGTGTGAAAGACTGCCCTCACTTGTGCTTCCTGCTCTTAGTCATCCAGCAGCCTGCGCTGACAAATGGTCTCAATGCAAGTTCAATCAAACTGCTGTGGGTTGACAGCAGTGAGGGTGCAAAAAAAATGAGAGATAACAGCCTTCAAAGGTCTTCAGAACTTAGGAGGAGATGATTACACAATGGCAGGGAGACCTGTCACCTGCCTGACTCTTGATCATCTTCTAAAAATGGGTTGTAGCTCCCCAGTAGATGGCATTTGATGTTAAAATAGTGGTAGTTGCATAGTGGAAAATATTTTCTAGCCAAAATGATAGACTTCTGCATATACACATTCTAAAGATGAAATTTAGGATCAGCACAATGCCCCATGTCATGGGACAGCAAAAAAAAAAACCCACCTCTAGCGATGTGTGAGCTCCTATCCAAGTTTCTCCCACATCACTAACTAGACAACAGAACTCTGGAGGATTTATTCTCTCCTCTCTCAGCTTCCCAAATCCTTGGCAGTAGGTTGTGCCAAGTTTCACGGTGGATTGTAGCAGGCACAGAGTGTCCTTTAGATGCTAGGACAAGGCATCACTAATTCCTTATTATGTAAAGAGAAGACCATGTTCAGGTCCTTAAGAGTGAAAAAGGCCAGCATACATTATCCAGACTAAAGCACTGTGCCACTATGAAAGCCAAGCCTGAATGATTTGGAAACTATCCCGGTTTCAGAGGAACTGAGTGCTGCTCAAAACCGAGGGCCAAGCTCTGCTTTCTTATGCCTGTTCAATTGGGAAAAGAAAGGCCCAGTCCTCCACAGAACAGAATTTAAATTTAGTGTGTATATGGGGGGAGGGTGGCCTCCAAAGGGAAATTAACTAGTTTTTGACTTAAGTAGATGTGAAGGTGTTACTTCTGGGGTTCAGGAACATCTCTTCAAGGAAGTAATCTTTGAAATATGGGATCTATTGAAGTCCACCACAACACAAAAGCTGAAGGTAAAACATATCTGCTTTGGTAGCACCTCTTACTCTGATCTTTCAGAGGAGCAGTTAAGCTTTTGTGGAGCCTTGAGCAAGAGCAAATCCCAGTGTCACTGACTGTCCTGCTTGGGGATGGTGGGCCTGGCCCTGCAGGTATGCTCTGGGGAAGGCTTGCTCCAGGGCACAGCTGGAGCCAGGAAAGTCTGAAGCCCCAAACCCTGCTGAGCAGGAGTGAACTCTGCCTCTCCAGCCTCACCATAACCAGGACACTGTATTGATTCAGCCCACATAGTTACTCAGACTTCACCAGGTTATGTACACAAAGCTGTTCTGCCAGAATGATGCCAGTACTACTCCTGCAGGCACCCAATGCGTCGTTTAGTGACATATGGGATCAGTAGGAAGGTTAAATAGTTCAGGATAGCTGCTTTGTACAGTTTTAATAGGAAACCAAAGTACAAAAGGAGAGATTAGCTTCCTCACACTCCATATGGAGGATGCAGTATGAACAGGTGAACAAAGTGTAGTTTGACTGAAGACTCACGCAGAAGCTCCAGTTTAGTTACAGTACAGTCACAGGTTGCTGTAAATTTTATTGTAACAAACATTAAACTTTCATACCAAGTGAACTAGGGAAAAAGGCCCAAGGCTAATAAAGTATCAGTGTGCTTTCAGCTGAAACACCTACTTGTCACCCTTATACGTATATCAGAATAGGGACAGCTTTTAGATTTGAGGCTTTATCCTTTTCTGGGCAACTTTCAATTTTGAGCAGAATTGAGCCTTAAGTAGTTGTAATTGAAATGGCTTGTCACATGACTTGCTGTTGTAAATGAGAGACTAGGGAAATCTGACTTGAACCAACTTCATTAGGCACTTTATTCTAGTTTATCTGCTAGAACGTTTTATTATGATGTTGAGTGTAGCTCACAGTGTGGGTTTCTGGTTCCCTGACAGGAAGTTCCTGCCCTTTGTGGCATGGGTGGATAACATCGAGAATGTGCCAACAGTTTGTTCTGCTTCATGGCTTGGCTAGGTATTAATTTTCAGGAGCTGTCATTCTTCTGCAGTAGGCCCACCTCTCACCAGGGATGTTTTCTGTGCTAAGCTGGTAGGACTGATGAGAACTAGGCATCTGAGAATGCTCTACATTCCAACTGCGAGGGGATGCACAGAGATAAAAGACTTAATTTCTATTCTATTTAGATGTGAGTGGAATTTAGTTTGACAGCTTCCTAATTTGGCAGGAGGAGAGCATTGCCATTCATTTGTATAGCTCTTTTGGCAGTGTTGCTATGCATTCAACAGCCTGATTCTAAAAATGGACCACATACAAGGATAAAGAATTGTTGTGGGTTTTTTGTGGTTGTTTTTGGTTTGTTTGCTTCTAAAGATTCTTAATACATGAGCAGTGAAAGTAACCACTACAAAGCCTTACTGGTTTTTGAACCCTAGTACATTCCACACAATAAGTCTCTGGAAACTCAGGGCTCTCACAGCAAGCTAGCCAGACAACATAATTTGAAGAAAGCCTCCAGTTACAGTATGAGTCACTGCCATGGAAAATACTTTTCGTTGCAAAAACATACAGATTCTTGTTCTAGTTAAGAATTCTCCTTCCTTGCCCCACCCCAAGAAGTTAAACAGTGTGCTAAGCCTGAGTTTGTTTTTCTATGCTTGAGACATTCCATATGAGGAAATATTTTCATTTTAGCGTTGTTTCATTACTGGTCAGCCGAAAGGTCAGGCTTTGCATTGTCTTAGCTTTTAAAGCTTCCATTTTCTGACCTGTATTGTGGAGATACACTCCACCCGATTACCTCCTGCACTGAGCCCAAGGCTCACTTTGGTCACAGTAAATTTTGCTTATGATATAAAGTTAGATTCTTAGATGTTATGCATTCATCTTCACTTTACCAAAAAGAGGTAGCAAAGTTCTCAAAGTACGGTACTTTCTGAAACAAATGTCAAAGCAGTAATTATCAGCATGACTGCATTTTGGATGCTGTGACTATAGAAGTCAGTTACCGTTTTAATTAGCAGGTCTGTACCAACAGGCACGCAACAAAGACCTTTTTGTTTTAAAAAAGGCTACACGCCCTCCTAGATTTTATGTTGTATAGATTCCTGCCTGTTCCATCACACTCAGCATGTGTTATGCTGCCTTAGTAAATGCTGCGTACAGAATCATCAACTATTGGAGGGCGATTACTGTTCTTCTATCATGCCTAAGGATCTGTTGAAATGTAATACCACACACTTAAGAAAGCTGGTGTCATTGTTTCCTGATCTCCTAGCACAGCGATGTCAAATGATAGTACCAATATATGCTCTTACCACTAACGAGCATGAAGCACTCAAAGCCAAGTCTCAAAACTAAAGCATTGCCATAGCAACCAAGCAAAACACTCAGAGCAGCTCCTCCTGCACTGAGCTAATCTAAGCAAGTCTCTCAGCTTCACCACAACACGGAACAGATTTGTATCTCAGACTAAATTATTCTTGCCTAACTGAGGCTTTTGTCCTGCGCTGACTTCAGTGTTCTCTTCTGGTAGTGATTATCATTTGAGCTTTGAAATTTAAGTGGGTATTTTACAGGTCAGTACTCCTGTTCAGATGGTGCATTTGTTCTGCTCGCCTCTGTCTGCAAAATGCTTGCTCATCACAGCAGGCATTTCAGGACAGAGCCATCCTATACTATCTATATAGCACACAGCTAACAAGTCTTATGATCTTGTCTGAAGCTTTTTTAGGACTCGCTATGGCTGTATTATTCTCCCAGTCGGAAACGCTGGTTTCTGCAGTGGCTATGTGAGTTAACAGCTCATCTGACCCCACCCAGAGGTGACACCATATCTAGAGATACGGTAAGAATGCCTGTGCTGTTCAAACTACCCCACGAAATCCGTAAATCAACTCCAACATTTATTGCGATGTCTTAGTTCCTCATCTCAAGCTCACGTATATCATTTTCATTTAGAAGGAGTTTGGAAAGTAAACAAATGAGACTATGGAATGTACTAATTTCAAACTCTGCCTATTAGCTACAAGTATATGTAACACAGAACAGATCTTCCAGGCAATCCTTAGGCTCTTTCAGAAGAAGTATATTTTTCCAAGTCCAAAACAAATACCAGCAATCCTTTTAATCTTCCCTAAAAACCTTATTTAACCATATGAAAAGTGTGGTAAACAGTACAATGACAAATTAGTAATTATGGAAGACTAAGAAATTCCAGACGAATCTCTAACAAAGCAGGATGAGTAATTCAGTGCTGGAAAATAAGAATATTGTTCAACAATCAGCTCCAAGAATTACTCATCCCTCAATTCAATTCACTAACTGTCAAGGGAGGAGTATTTGGTTTTTCATGTACAGCATTAACCAGCTACAACGTGGGGCAGGAGATATGCTTCCCACCATTCTGATCTGCTCAGAAGCATCTCTTCAGTGAGCATTAAGGTACTTGACCAGGCAGAACTCTTCAGTATACAGCTCCCTGTGTACTATTAACAAGCTGTTCTATTTCTTGAAATGCGTATAAACATACATGTACATAAGTTTATTTCATTCTGTGCAGAGAAAAGCCAAGAATACTGTATTACAACAAACCTCTGGGGGCACTAGTAAGATATTGCATTTAAAAGTGAATACAGCACTGGGCAGGCATATCCTACCTGAAAGAATACACGGTGAATGCTGCTAGGAGGTTGGATCTTGCCTACAGAGCTACCTCAGCACTACCTAAAGGATGATGATGTCCATCCCTAAGGACAATGTAGTGGTAGGTAAGCACTGACAAAGGGAGAGGCAGTGATGCTGCTTCCATGCAGACATTCATACCATCAGCATGGGTGTGTGCAGAGGGTGGAAATAACAGGCTGGCCATGGCAGTTCAGATGCCATCGGAGCTGCAAAACAGTAAGCCATGCTGGCATGAAGCAGGTAGACTCTATGCTGTGCTTAAAAGTTCAGATCCTAACGAGGTGGAGCTGAAGCAATTCATGCAAATGAGATGCATAGAATACCTGTCAGGATGACCCAGGGAACATGAGGGAAACTCAGGCGAGAGGTTTCCCTTCCTCACTCCCCCACGTGTTTATGCAGCAAGCCCAGTGCTGAGAGCTTTCTCTATAAATAGAGCCAACAGTAGCAAGGGAAAACAACTATTTAAATCAAGGACAAAGCTGGCTACTACACAAACTGTGGGAGATGACTGTGTGAGAAAGCAGAGACTAAAAAGATTAAAAACCAGAAGGAGGCATAGCCTGCTACTGGAGTATCAATGGCAAAAAAACAATGCTAATGGTCCACTGAAAAATGCAACTAGTTTAGAAAAGAATAACAAGAGCATAGGCTGCACATTCCTTATCCTGGTGTTTTTTGGTGTTTTTTTTCGTTCTTCAACTTATCTACATATCCATTACTAGTCTAACTTAAAAATTTGTTTTCCTACAATAAGAAAACAGAAACCTATGAAAATAAGGCACTTGTATAAGCTATAGCTCTAACACTGCAAATGTTATCAGGGTTAGGCTAATTACCCTTTTTTTGTTTAACTTTCAGACTACTTCAAAATTAGACCTGTTTCCATGGTTTATTTCAGGTTGCTGATGGTCTGTTTATTATTCTATCTTTTATATGACCCTAAGAAACACATTTCCATACCTTATCCTCTAAGACCAACTGGGACAAAGATACGACCTCAACTTTCAAGCAAAACAGCAAAGCAACCCCAGATCAATACAGTTGAAGTAAAAACTGAAGTAAAGGTGCCTTACATTACTATCCCTTATTTTTCCCACTTAAGGGAGTAAACCTTGTCAAGCCAACTCAAGGGACTGTACTGGTCTGTTGCAGGCAAGGCTACCAGCATCTGTGTGTACTGTCCAAACAAGGTTATGTGCACAACTGCAGCTGTTTGGTGACTGGATGCTGAGATTAGCTTTAGCCATAGATTGCTGCAATGAAAAAACTGCAGCAAAGGTAAGACAAATAGATGTCACCTTATGCAGTATGAAGTTCATTAACATGAACTTGGGATGAGTAAGAAGGAAAAACGCTGATAGGCAGAAGAAAAGCTGCCAAAACCAGAAAATAGGATAGTTCTGTAATAGTGAAAAAATCTCCTTCCATGAACCAGCCAAAGCAGCACCATACAGAAAATCATCAGATTCATCCGACTCCAAGTCAACTGAGCAAGTGAAATAGATCATCTGTATTCTAATACAGATCATAAACAGAATTTTAAAGGAACATACCTCAAAGTTTTTTGAGACCCCTATATAAGTAAAAGTCAGAATCAACCCTGGAACTGGAGAAGATTTTAAAATTTCTCTAAACTGAGGAAGCAGATAAGACTTGGGGCAAGCTGGGTGAGCACAAACAAAAGGTAGGCTGTTTCCCAACTCAGGTTTATTTGGTTTCATTGATAACAGGTCTGTTGTGCAGTCAGCTAACGTGAAAAGGCTTTAAAAAGTTTTAAAACCATTTTACAGCTGTATTCCCACAGCAAGTGCTGCCTAGCAAACATGGAATCAGTTCCATACTACTGAGCAGGTAGCAACTCAATAAGCTTACTCGTATTTGCACAATGGTTATTTTCACTAATCTAGTCCTTCATGCTAACCTATGAAGGAAAACAGTTGTCAGCAGATGCATGAACAAGTAGCTTAACCGACTTCCATAGAACCTGAAGAAATTATTTACAAAGATTCATTATTTTAAATAGTAACTGTGCGGATACTTTTCAATAGAGTCATTTGTATTCAGCCATTTCGTTTCCTGTACTCTCTTTGGTTTGTTTTAGTTCTTCAGCCAGCTGTCAGTGCAATGAATAAGAGCAGCTGTGGTTTCCTGTTAATTCTGGCCACTAGCATGCAAGCCACTACATAAGCAAGGGAAAGAATAATCTAACCCACTGCATGGATCCAGCTACCATAAGCATTAGTCCTGTCTTAGCAATGCTCTGTTTGGATCGTAAGCCATTTGAGTTCCTCCATGCAAGAAAACTGCTCATGTCCATGAATATCTGAAGGACTGGTGGCAAGTGGATGGGACCAGGCTCCTTCTGGTGGTGCCCAGCAACAGATCAAGAGGCAGTGGATATAAAGTGGAAGAAAGGAAGCTCCACGTGAACATGTGGAAAAGCTTATGCCAAGACAGCCCATGGAATCTCCTTCTTTGGAGATGCTTAAGACCTGCCTGGATGCTTTCTTGCATAAACCACTATAGGGAACCTGCTTCAGCAAGGGAGTTGGACTCTGATCTCTGTGGTCCCTTCCAACCCTTACAATTCTGTGGTTCTGTAATACGTTGTCAATGGGATGCAATGGGAGGTACTCAGTTTCCAGTCCAGCTAACATCTCACCTGCAGAAAATGTAGTGTTAAAATCCTAGATTTGAGTATTGTGAGATCTATCACTTAAATTCGTGACCGTTTAGGAAAGATTCCCAAGCACAGGAGAGAAGCGTGTCAAAAGAAAAACAACTGCTATCTTCCCAAGTTGCAAAGGTTTGCAGTTCTCAGAGTCAAGAATTCTTTTATCTAAAAATCAAGCGTTAAAAGATGCAGAAAGTTACTTCTATTTTCTCTCTCTCAGTGATGTGAAAAACAAATACTGAAGTTACAAACAGATTTCCTAAAAATTGCTTCTCTTGACCCAGAGAAGGGTTACATGCAGTACTGTGCAGTGACTGTGTCTGACGCAATCAAGTTGGCTTGTGTTTCTGGACCCACTTGGTGGGAGAGGGAGATAAGTAAACTATTAAATAATTTCCTATAATATTAAATGTGCATTAGGATGCTAGAAGTAGGCCATTAAGAGCGTCACACTTGTTCAGGAACATGACAGCCAACTTTGCACTGAAGTACAGAAGTTTGTCTACTAAGAAAAACTTAGAGCTGATCTTGAATTTGCCATTATCCAGCCTAACCCATGTGCTCTACCATCCTATCTCTGTACCAGGCCAGTCACCTGCTCAGGACGCTGACTTTGAAGGCAAGCCTCTTATGACATTTGCTCTGCTGAGTTCTACCTAATTGCAGGCAACAGAAATGACCACAGAAGGAGGTACGGACAACCAGTAGTTTCTACTGGCAGGTATTACCTGCATGCACTATGGTTTTAAATCTGCTTTATAAAGGTCCATTTTGCTTTAAGAAGTTAGGCGCCTTCCAGACTGGGGCTGGACTACCAGGCAGAGATTGAGGTTTCACCTAAGGGTGAAAGTGCAGACAAAAAAAGTTGAAGATGACATCAGTAACTGAAGAAAAAAGATTCTAACTGCTACAGTGCTAAGCTATAAACAGACGTTCAGTAGAAATGGTAAGGCACTGTTTGAAGTGCAGAATTATTAGAAATAATTCAGTTTCTGTTCCCCCAATAACTGAGCTCTCTCCAGTTTTAGAGTGTTTAAATAATAATAAAAAAAAAGTATTGATTTACAGTTTTTCTTGGTTAGTTCCTGGTTAAATCTGTGAATGAACACAAACAGGAAAGCACACAGAAGTCATACAATCACAATCCTAGGGATTGGAAGGGACCTCCAGAGATCATAGAGTCCAACCCTCCTGCCAAAGCAGGTTCCCTACACCAGGTAATCATTCATGAAGAATTTTAGTATGGATGTGTGTCCAGAAATAAGGAGTAGAACTAGACAACAACCTTGAAAATACTAAAATCATTTATTTCCTGCACCCATACTTGAATCTTCAAGTGTTCTTCCATCACCTGTCTAAGCTGCAAACAATGGTATTTAATATTCTTCAAAGCTTATTAATATGCATACCACGTATACTTTTTCTGTAGGTGTCCTTGAAGATGCAAACCTAAATCCAATCACAATTGGTATCAACTGTGCAATATCTAAAGCTCCAGGAATGCAAAGAAGATGAGAAGTATAGTGCTCCTTCAAAGAGTGACAGAGATGACAAAGCACACTGATTTGCTAGTGATTACCTAGCAATTAACTAAAGGCTCAGTACAAGTTATATGTCCTTAAAAACATTTGGTATGGGGAACAATTGATCAAGCTACTTCACACTAAGTGCCAAGCTTCACAAGCCTGCATCTGAGATGTTAGGAGCTGTGCAACTCCTACTGCTCTGAAAGGCTGCCAGCTCACCCCCTTCTTTTAAAAGGTGACCTTCTGTCCCTTGCTGCTTCTTGCTGGTGCGAATCACTTAGGCTGTACTCTGGACTCAGTGCGTGGGACACTCACTGCGGCAAGTTTTTCCATTTCATACTAGGGAGTTTGAGTTACATTGCACCAGGCTTTGTGTATTTGGTTTTTTCTTTTTCCTCCTGTGGAATCTACTGAGATTCTAGTTTAAAAATCACTTTTAGACAAAAGCTCACGTTGTTGGTGCGCTCCAGACGGATGCAGAAATAACTTTATCACCCTTTCTCCTAGCAGTTTAAGAAATGTTTCTGGTTTGCACACCTCTTTAATAGCAGGCTTCAAGCAGCCTATCTACACATATTGTATCTCGCGTCCTGTTTAAATAAACTATAAATCCAGGTCTGTCATCTGATAATAAGCAAATCCCTACACAGCACTGGAAGGTAAAATCCATTTGCAATCACTGCATTGAATAGAGGGTAAAGGAAACATCATTGGCAACACTTAACCCATGATGGGAAATGGCACAGGAAGAATAAAGACAAACCCTCAGGGCTGGCTCTTTCCTTAGCTGTGATTTATAACTGCCTTGAAATTTTCAGTGCGTGAGAATCGTGTCTCAAGAGCCGCATTATTTACTTCTTGCATCTTTCGGATCTTATTTGAGACTGCAAGAAGCACGCTTGTCCATAGCATCAAGCAGTAAATCCGGGAGCCTACTGGCCTGAGGAAGCAGCCATGGACCGCAGCCTGCAGGGCACAGCTGTAACTTTCCACACGCGCTCCAGTGCTGCCCCAGGCTCTCAGCAGACAGGCTTAAGAGACGCTGCTGAAAATCAGGGAATTCTGCTGAGGATTTATAGAGATGCTGACGTGGGACAGAGGGTAACTGCTAGCCAAACTGATTGTTTGTTCACGTGCAGGGTGTTTGGTAATTCTTCACTGAGAAAACAAACATTCCTCTGGTTCTTAGCAGCGCCGATAGCTTCCAATACGTCACGTCAGACCTTAAACAGCATCTTATAATTTCATTTGCTCCCGAGCTTCATTACCCGCCTGCAGCTCTCAGGAGTAACACGGGCAGTACCGAAAAGGGCTTTGCGCGAACGGCAGCGGCAAACAAACGTAACGTAGGCAGCGGCAGCTCAGCAGCGCGACAGCCGCCGGTGTTTGACAGAATTACAGCGAGGGCGGCCGGGCAGGCCGGCCAGCCACCGCCGCGGGTTGCTGCGGGACGGGGAGCCGCGTCAGCAGGGCCGGCCGCGCCGCAAGGAAGGGGCGCTGCTCTCGCTAACGGGCCGCGCAGCCCCGCCGCTAACCGCCGCCCCGGCCGGGCCCGCCGCCGCGTCCCCCTCCCCCGTCCCCCCGGCCTCAGCACGGGGCGTTCCGAGGCAGCCCGGGGCCCCGCGCGGGGCGGCGCGGCTCTCACCTCCCTTGCAAGGGGTGCGGTGCTGGCTGTGCTGCGCCCGGTAGCCCTCGATCACTTCCCACTCGCCGTTGTCGCGCTTGATGGGGAAGGAGACGCTGAGCACGTGGTTGCAGGGCTTGATGATGCGCAGGATGCCGCGGACGCGGTGCCGCCGCTCCTCCATGCTCTCGCGGGTGCGCAGCCCCTCCACCAGCTTATCCTCCACGATGCTGGCGCCGCGGTCGAAGAAGCCCTCCACCATCTTGAAGAAGTTGGGGTCGTCCTCCTTGTTGGCCGCTTCGCAGTAGTGCCGCCGCGGGCAGCGACCCCCGCCCCACGCCGCCGCCGCACCCCCGGCCGCCACCGCCGCCGGCCCGCCCGGCTCCGCGCCCGCCAGCACGGCGCTGCCGGCCAGACGGGCGGCCAGCTGCTCCCCCAGGTAGCGGTACATGGCGCCGGCGCTTCCGCTGGGCGCGCAGGGACGACGCGTGGCGGTGCCGCTGCGGCCGCCGCTCCACAATAGGCGCGGGGCGCCGCCGCCGCCGCCTTTAAACGGCCTCGGGGTGGGGAGGCGGGGGGGGAAACTTGGGGGGAGTACGGAGAGGCAGGAACAGCCTCCGCGCTGCGCATGCGCGCCGCGCCACCGCCCCGCCCCAGGCGGGACGCGGGGGGAGCGCTGCGCGCCCCCGCGGCCCTTCCTTCCCGGCACGGGGTGCGCGCGTGCGCGGGCTCCGCCTCGCTGCCGCTTTTAGCGCAGGCCCGCGCTCGGCTTCCGCTACGCGTAACGGCGCCTTGCGGCTCCGCTGGTTTGGCGGTTGACTGCGTTCTCGTGGCGTGAGTAGCGATAGCGGCGACGTCCGCGTGAGCAGCGCGGGTGGGGCTGTGAGCGGAGCGGTGGCGCCGCGTGTGACGGCGGCGGGGCGCTGAGCTGTGCCTGTGCTGCTGCGTTTGGAGCGCCGGTACCGCTGCTGTCCTGTGTGCTCGTTGAGCTGCGTGAGAATGAGTAGCTCCCCCCCATCTTAGTGCTTCTAATCACCTGCGGAGGTGGGAGTCAAAAAGCAGCCAGAAATTACGCGTGCCATCCCGTGTTGCCAAATCATAAATGGGCAGTCAGAGGTAAGCTGGTTAGGCAGGTTAATAAAAAGCTGTCAGGTGTGGAAGTGGTGGTTGTAATAACCAGAGGTTAACAGCATCTTCTTTTTCATAGCGTGCCGTCAGGAGGTTCGTCTTTGAGTAGCGGTGTTAAGGAAAACCGGCTGGTTTCTAAGGTAACCTTTACTTCGTCTTAACATGCAAGGGTTTCACTAACTTTCAGTTTCCTGTTAAATATTGGTCTTATATACACGTACCTTTCTTCATACATAGAAGTGTGCATACACACATGTCTAGTATATTTATGTTCTTAAGGTAACACTTCTATGCGTTGGCACTGGGTGTCAATCCGACTTTGTAATGGGGTCATTTAACATTCTGTGTGAAAGATTGCTCAGAGTTGTTACTAAAAATGTGCTATGCAGGAGATGAACAAGCTGATGTAACTTATCCAAGCTTCTGAAACATCTCTGTGTACTACTTGATTACTTTCTGGCTATGCATACAATAAAAAACACTGTATTGAGCATCCGTGAGGAAATGCAATTTTAAGGTGTAATAGTTTCAAAGCAAACAACATCAAATCTTACGTGTCAGATTTTAAAAC